GCGCGGCCGCGCGCAGCGATGAAGCGCCCAGCGGGCTCGGCGCGGCGCGGAGGCGGCTGCCCCCCAACGAAGTGGCGGACGGCAGGCGCTGTTCGGAGCGCCCGCGGTTCAAAGTCGCCGGCGGGCAGGCAGCCCGCGCGCGGTCCTTTGCTGCGGGATCGGTGGCCGAGCAGCAGTCTGTGCAAAATGAGAAGACTCGTGAGTCCCGCAGAAACCACGGCGCCCTCACCTCTTGGGTTTCTCTGGCACTAGGCGTGGCTTTTGCGAGGGCCAGACAGGTCCCCATCCAGTTGGACCCCCAGCTCCCCGTCGGCCAGCACCCTTCAGGCACGATGTCCCTTGCGGACTCCTTGGGGGCTGCAGGCACGGACAGGCTCGAGCATGATCTCGACGGGGCCTTCGTGGACTCGAATGGCTTCAGTGCCAGTTTCGACGAGGTACATTCAGCGATTACTGGCAGCCCTAGGCGGAGGCCCACGGCGGCCGTCAAGGTCTCGGGCGGGGCCAACATCCTGGCCATTGAGTGGGAGGCCCTCTGCCTGGCCCATCGTCATCTTCTTCGGGGCCCAGGCAGTGCAGGGCATGTTGATCGATGCTATACCGCTTGCTCTCGGCGTGGTCAAAAGGGGACCAAAATCGGCACCTATGGCGTTGTCTGGGTAGGATATGTGCGCTCTCGGTTGCGGTAGGCTCGAGGCCCCAGGCGCGCTGGGCGGCATTCGAGTCGGACCCCTCCGACGCCGTCAGCCAGGGCCGACATGGCTGGATCAGCGGCCATTGGGAGCTGCGGGGGCCGCTGCGGAGGCCTGCTGGCCACCGTGGTGGTGGCCAGCATGGTGGGCTCCAGCGGCGCCGCGGCGGCGCGGGGCTCGCGCGTGCCGAGCGCCATGGCAGCGGCGGTCCAGAGGCGGCGGCTGGCGCGACAGGCGATGGCAGAGAGGCCGATCCTGACCGGGCTCACTCTTCTGGAGACTCTGGCCAGTCGCTCCAACACCGAGCGGAGTTACCGCCAGCTGCTGCGGACCTTCGTCGATTGTTGGTGCTCGCAGCGCCAGGGCTGGAGCAGGTTCGAGGAGCTCGACGCTGTGCTGGCCCAGTACTTCTCGGGCCACTACCAGATTGGGACCGCGTGCATCATCGGGTCGCAGACGCTGGCGGCAATCGCGCACGTGATCCCCACGATGTTCAAGAAGACTGTGGCGCTTCTCCTTCGGGCTTCGAGGGGTTCGGCGGCCTGGAAGAGGCGAGCACCAGGCAAGACGAGGCTGCCTCTGCCGCGGGCAGCGGTGCATGCAATCGTGGGGTGGCTGATCAGCCACGGGCAGCTCGGCATGGCATGCTGGATCGTGATCGCGTTCGCGGCCTACTTGGGGCCGGCCGAGGCCCAGTGCTTGACGCGCGAGAGCCTGGCGCCTCCGACGCCAGCGGCGGACGCGAGCTACTCGAGCTGGGGCCTCCTGCTGCGCCCCGCCGAGAGGGGCGTGGCAGGGGGGACTGGCCAGTCCGACGACGACGCGATGCTGGATAAGTCGGAGCTGTGGCCTTGTCTTGGCAGCCGCGCGCCGAGCCTTTGCGCCGGGCGTGTCGCTCTGGACCGTCCCCTGGAGGACATTACTGCGCAGTTCAGGATCGCCTGCTGCGCGCTGAGCCTCGGGGCGCTGCGGGCGCGCTTCTTTTGCCTGCGGCATGGCGGGGCGTCCGACGACCTGGTGACTGGCCGTCGCAGCCCAGTCGAGGTGCAGCGCCGCGGGAGGTGCGCCGCCCTCTCGTCGATGCGGCGCTGCGGCACGGAGAGCGCCCTGTTCGACGAGATAGCCAGAACGAACGCCATGGTCTTCACCTTCAGCGCCCTTGTCGAGGCGAACTTGATGACGCTCCTCGAGCGCGGCTTCGACGGAGCGGGCCTCCTGGCGCGGGTGCCAGCCCCGGTGCTCCGCGCGCTGGGCCCCGCGCCGCCTGCGGCGGGCAAGAGGGTGCTGCGGCGGCCAGCCGCGCGCCGATGATCGGCCCCGCTGGGATGGCCGCCGCGCCCGCAGCTGCCGACGATGAGCTGTGTGGGCGGCACCTGCGGTGGCGGCTCGAGGCGGCCCTCCGCGGGCGGCGACTCGGCGCGTGGCGCTGGAGATCTTCGCCGGCCCACGTCGCCAGACTGAGGCCGCGAAGCGGCAGGCGCTGGCGGGCTTGGATTTCCACCATGGCGCTACCAAGGATCATCTGCGCGCCACCTTCCTGCATGCCCTCAAGGGGTGGCTGGCCGCCCGCGCCGCAGGCGCAGTCTGGCTGGGAACGCCCTGCACGACTTGAGTTCAGGCCATGAGGAGCCGTCTCAGCACGCGGGCCCGCCCGATGGGTCGCGGGGGATTGCTCCTGCACGAAGCGGCAGAGCTGCGCATCGGCAACAGATCTTTCAATGTGAGTTGCGACATCATTGAACAGCGCATTTTGTTTCGCATCCCAGCATTCAGTGGATAACCCTGCGGGGTCATTGTTGTGGCACGCCGGGCGGACGAGGCGGTTGCTCAAGGCACCTTCAGCTCAGTTCGTCACATTCGACTGCTGCCAGTTCTGGAACTCCGCGGCGGAAGCGAACCTCAGCTGCGGCCTGGAACGCAGTCAACCTTCAGTCCCCGAAAAGGCGCTGCAGTGGCCGCCGCGGCCTTTGTTCCAGGACGCAACAGCCGCGCGCTATCCTGACTGGCCATTGCGACGGTGTTCATTTAACCGCTCAGGCTGCCGCCTATGTGCCTCGTCTCTGCAATGACGTGGCGCGTCTGATTGAACAATATATGCTTGGCCGCCCTCATATGTATATGCGCGAGATTTGTTCTCGTTAGCCTGCGTCGTAATTTTGCATCTTCATCGGCCTTACGGCCAGTCCCTTCCCGTTTGGTCGCGTGGAAATATGCGCGCGCCGCTGCCGCCTCGCCCGCCTGCGCCGTCGCCTCGAGGCCGACCTTTGTCCTCGAACGCCTGGCCTCTTCCCGCGCGAGGCCGTCGGGAAACTGGGGCGCTCTTTCGGCCGGGTCGACGCCCTTTCCGCCCGGCCCCGCTCCTTCCGTTTTCAGGATGGTCGCCATTGGCTGGCGTTCGGAAGTGGAAAGGGGCTGCGCTTTTTTGTTACAACAGTTTGCGTAGATGCAACGAGAGTGGGCCGCGCGGTGACTCCACCGTCGCCGCTGGGGGCTCAAAGTGCACGCCGCCCACAGGCCGCCCTGGATTTGGTTCTCTGATTGTTTGCCCTTTGATCCTCCTCGTCCCAAAGGATTCTGCGTGCGCCGCTGCCGCCTCGCTTGCCTGCGCCGCCGAATCGAGGCCGACCTTCGTCCTCGAACGCCTGGTTCCGTCCCGCGCGAGACCGTCGGACAACTGGAGCGCCCTGTCGACGCCCTTCCGCCCGACCCCGCTCCTTCTGTTTTCAGGATGGTCGCTCTTGGCTGGCCTTCGGAAGTGGAAAAAGGGCTACGCGCTTTTTTACAACAGTTTGCGTAGAAGCAGCGAGAGGGTGCCGCAATGTGACTCGACCGTCGCCATTGGGGATTCAAATTGCACCCACAGGCCGCCCGGGATTTGGTTCTCGGACATTTTGCCATTTGATCCCCCTCGTCCCGAGGGATTATGCGTGTGCCGCTGCCGCCTCGCCTGCCTGCGCCGTCGCTTCGAGGCCGACATCTGTCCTCGAACGCCCGGCTCCTTCCCGCACGAGACCGTCAGAAAATTGGAGCGCCTTTTCGGCCGTGCCGACGCCCTTCCGCCCGACCCCGCTCCTTCCGTTTTCAGGATGGTCGTTTTTGGCTGGCTTTCGGAAGCCGAGACGGGCGATGCACACATGTGTATAGATATACACACATACAGACAGACACACAGGTAGACAGGCATATATACATACATGTAAACATCTATAAACACAGAGAGAGAGAGGGATATATACACATACATGTGTAAACACACAAGTGACCCGTGGGTGCCCAGGTTCGAACAAAACGCAACGGGATCACCGATGGGGTTGACACATCTTGCGATTAGGCGAAGTGTTGAGAAACACCCCAGTGGGCATGAACAAGGGAACGATTCCTGAAAGCTGTAGAACAAGATTGGGGAACAACGACAAACCATGCGTCTCTAATTTTGATGCGCGAAGGCACTGACATGAACTATGTTCTTGCAGGTGTTGGTATACAACGGCTGCCCACGAACCAATTGAACAACCAATGTGTTCTAACAACTAGGGGCACCATCATTGAAACCCATTGTGGTATATTGTGGTTCGACACTTGAATATTCATTATGTTTTGGTGCCGTGATGTCCTGATCTGAGGGAGAGGCGCGTCCCATTTAAAAGTGTTCGGCATGTCCCTACCGAAGCGGAAATACAAGGACGAACGCGGCGACAATTCATCGTTTGTGAACTCTGCTCCCTCGACTGGTGCGTATGATCACATACAGTTGAAACCCGTGCCAAGAAACACTTTGTTTGCCTCCAGGGTGCCCTCCCTGGGTTTCTTGGGGTTCGATGGTTTTACAATGGAAAGCGTGACGTTCCCATATGTATGTACCAAGCTTCAATGGACGTCCTGGGGTTTCAGGGTTGGGTTTCTTGTGGACGGTTTCTTGTGGTCGAGCTCCTACTGCATTCATACTTGCGGCCTGGGTGGCCTTCCTGGGCTGCCCCGTGGGCCCTGGAGGGGGTATCGGGCCTCCCAGGAACCCGCGGGCGTGGAGGAGGATGCATGCAGCGAGGCGGTACCGGGGGGGAACAGACTCACAGAAGCCCTGCCGGACAGCTCACAGGCATCATCTTTTTAAGTTGGCGGTTCAGAGGATCCTCAGGCGCGAGCAGCAGATGCAAGTGCTAATTGCGTTCGAACGTTGTCGAAGGCACAGTGTAAGGACCGTGCGCACGGTCAATGCAGCGAAGGGTGGTGTGAAGGAGGAGCTGCATATCCAGACGAAACGTGCAGCGGCCAGCCACAGGCATCCTCACACACCCACGTCGTGCAGGCATGGTGGCGGACCTGTGCCTCGCTGTGCTGTTGCAGGGCCTCGCCCTGGAGGATGCGGTGGGCGAGCACGCCGGGCGCCACCCGCTGCTGGGCAGCCCGGAGGACGCGAAGCGGCTCCACCGCGCATTCACAACGGGTTGGATCGAGATGTGCGAGCACGTCGACGCCTCCCGCGGCGTCGCGCGGCCTGACCTCGTCCACTGCGCCCGGCTTGCCTCGCTCGGGGTGTTGGGCTGGGCTTCTATGCTAGCAGCGATGCCCCAGGCGTATCGCGACGAACATGGCCTGGGGTTCGAGCGGATCGTGAGCAGCTCTCTGCTGAGGTCCTCCCGCTTGGCGGAGGATGCCGCGAGGGACATTGTCGAGCGCGGATTCTTGCTGAAGGACGCCCCGAACAGGCAGCACGGCGCAGCGCGCTCCGCCCTCCACGGCCTCCTGGCAGCGGCCGCCGCCGGCTTCCGGCTGGAAGGGCCGCTGTCCGGCTTCCAGGCGGCCATGTCCACGCTCATGGGCGCGGCCTTCGAGGAGCAGGCAGAGGCCTCGGCGCACTTCTGGACCTCGGACTACGCTTCTCACAGGAGGTGTTTCTTCGTGCTGCACGGCTGGCTCGCCGCATTCCCCATGCACCTTCCCGAGCTCCTCGGCCTGCTCGCTGGGCTGGCTGGCCCAGTGCATGCGCTGGACTTTGTGCAGGCTCCACTGGACACCGTCGTCCTGCCCTACAGCATCATCCAGAACTCGGCCGACCTCGCAGTCGATTCTGAGCCCGGCGCCGCGACCCAGGTAACCCTGCGGGAGCCGGCGTACACGGAGGAGCTCGCCCTGAGGGCGTACGGCCTGCTGCTGCCAGAGTGGCACCTGCCGCGCTGCACGGTGCTGCACGCTGGCTCCCAGGGCGTGCTGCTGGGCGCTGGCGCGGACGGCCAGGTGGGCGCCTTGGCGCGCAAGGTGCAGTTCAGGCTCGAGGGGTCAGGCCTGCCCACTTGGCGTCTGGCTCTGGCCGCCTGGGACGCCGTGCTGGCAGGGCTGGGCTGCACGACCTGCGCGGCCCCAGGCGCAGCGCGGGCGCTGCCGCCCTCGGCCACGCAGCTGCTGCTCGCGGTCGTCCAGCTCTTCTGCCGGCTCCTCAGCGCCGGGCCGCAGGCGCTGGTGGCCCTCAGCGAGCACCTCCCTGCGGACGAGCAGCGCGCCGGAGACGGAGTCATCGCCAGGCTCTTCGTGTCGTTCCTCGCCTGCGCCGGCCTTCCTGGCTCTGCAGGTCAGCGCGCCCTCCCCACAGTCCTGCGCGCCCTGGCGTCCTGCCTGGCCGCGCCAGACGCGGCGACGCAATGCTCCGCGCTGATGAGGTTGATCGAGGGAGCCGCGCACCCGCGCTTCCGCGCTCGCGGCGCTGGCACGTTCGTGAGCGTCCTCACCTCGGCGGTGGACCGCGAGCGCGAGGCAGGCTGTTATCCTACTACCCTGGCGGCGCTGGACCTCTTCGCCGCGCTGCTGCGGGCGCGCCCTGTGGAGCTGCTCGCGCTGCCCGGGGGAGGTGGCGGCGAGGCCTTCGGCCAGCTCTTGGACTTTACGTTCGGCCTCTGCTTCGCGCGCTGCGGCTTCTGGGCGTGCCGGACTCCAGCGGACAGATGGGGGCTCTCGCTGGCCTGCATCGGGGTGGCCTCCGCTCTAATGCCGCTGATGGAGTGCTTCAACTGGCCGCTCCCGCCCGAACTGGCCTCCGCGGACGGCGGCGGCGCCGAGGACGTGGCGGCCGCGACTCGAGGCGTGGGACAGCTCTGCGCCTCTGTCGGCCACCTCCGGGCGATCCAGCTCCGCGTGCTGCGAAGCTGGAGCGAGGCGGCCTTCGTGCCAGCGTTGTTGCAGTGCCTGGCTTGCGACGTCGTCTTCGGCGCTGTGCCTGGCCAGTCTGGGCGCCGCTTCATCGGCTTCTGGAGCTTGGCGCACGCGGACGGCTCCTGCACAAGCGACGGGGTCCCCGAGTTCGGAGACGTGGGGCCGCCGCCCGTGAGCGCCGTACAGCTGCTTGCGGGCGCGCTGCGCTGCCTTCACGAGCTGCTGTGCCTCGTGCTGCGCCCAGCTGGCCAGTCACCGCAATGCGCGTCCCTGGCGCAGCACCTCCTGGCGGTGTCAACGATGCGCGAGCCTGCGGACTTCTCGCCTGGACTGCTGGCTGCTCGGGACGGTTGCCCGCCCCGCCGTGCCGACCTGGTGCAGTCGCTCTACGCCCACGCCTGCGGGACCGCGCCCGCTGTTGCGCGGTGGGCTGCGGGCTCGCTGGCCGCGCTGTGTGCGCTGTGGCACCGCGCAGGTGCAGGCGCGCTGCCGCCCGCGGAGCACGGAACTGTCGCGGCTGCCCTCGGCGCTGCGGCGCCGCTCCGCAAAACGCAGCTGCTGGCCCTGCTCGCCGTGCCCTCCGCAGGCCCCTTCGGCGCGCCCGCGGAGGCCGGGGAGCTGGTCCCAGGCCCTGCGGCGCCAACTGGGGCTGGCGCCGGCGCTCCGCGCCCCTCTCCGCTGGCGTCCCGCCTGGCGCGCAGGCTGCTGGACGTCGTGGGCGACCCATGCGAGGACACCGCGCTGCGCTGCGCATTCGCGGGCCTCGCGCGCGCGGCGCTGGCTGCTCAGCCGGGCCTCTTCCTGGACGAGGCTGCCGAGCTGCTGCCCCAGGCCATCGCCGCTTGCGCCCGCGGGGCGGCAGCAGCGCTCGCGGCGTGGGCTGACCTGGAGGTCGACGCGGAGCCTGGGCGCCTTCTCGTGGCGTTGCTGGCGCTGCTGGACGACCTCGCTGCCGCCGACGCAACAGCGTTCTGCAGGAGTTTCGCCCAGCCCGTCGATGGCGGTCCCCGCAAGTACGGGACGGTGTGGGCGCTGTTGTCAGACCTGGTGCCGAGCGCCTTCGAGAAGTGGATCCCAGAGGCCTCGGGTGGCTTGCTTGCGGGCGCAGGTGGCGGCGCCTGCCGCGCGGCTGAGCCTCTGATTGCGCTGTCTGCGCTGCTGCGGCTCGCAGAGCGCGGATGCCAGGCGAGCGCGAAGGTCCAGGCGGAGGCTCCCGAGGCTCACGCGGCGCTGATGGAGTTGATGGGTGCGCTGCTGGGCCCTGTGGGTATCAAGCTTGTGCTCCCTCCTGCGCTGACGCTCGAGGAGGGGGTTGGCGCTGCCGGCCACGGCGCGGACCTCGCCGACGGTAGCATCTTGGTCCAGCACCCGTTTGGCTCCAAGGCCGCACAGGCCGTGAACCTCGAGGGTGAAGCCAACACCGTGGACAGCTTCCTTGCACACCACCAGCTGCGCGCCGAGCTGCTCGGTCCAGCGGGCGCCATGCCTGGCCAGTCGGGTGAACCTGGCCCTCGTGGACTGCTGGCACGGCGTCAAGGCCGGGACCAGTTGTGCGAAATTGCTTGCGGGCCCAGCGCCGACCTTGCCGTGGGCCATGTCGCGGCCCGCAGGCTGCTGAGGGCAACGCTGCCGCAGGAGAGGCTCGGCTGCTTCGGTGAATTCGACGGCGTGACGGCGCTCCACTCTGGCTCACAGGTTCTGGACGAGTTCTGCGTGTCGGCTTCGCTGCTGCCAGCCCACCAGCCATCTGTCAGATTTGCGCTGGCCGCCGTGTGCGGCAGCGAGGCCCAGGTGGAGGATGTGGTCGGGAACTGCGCCGCGCTGTCGGCACAAAAGGCGATCGCCTCGGCGAGGGCGCTGGCGGTGGAGGCATTCGACGACCTGGTCTGCACGGCCATGCGCCAGGCCATGGATGGGAAGGACAGCGCCTGGGCCAGCCAGGCAAAGCCTCTTCTGGGCTCGCTCCTGAAAAGTCTGGTGCGCCTCTTGTATGACCTTCTGCAGCATCTGGAGCTGCTCGCTGACCACTCGGCCTTCTTCGCGCGCCTGCTGTCGCTGGTGGCGCGGACTCTGACCGCGCAGTCCTGGGCATCGGCGCTCCTGGGCGCATCGCCGCAGGCTACCAGCACCCTGGACCAGGATTTTGGTCTGGCTGCGGGCAGCTCGCCCGTCCAGGAGGTGCCTTTTGTCCGGGAGATGCTGGAGCGCCAGACACCCATGGGTTTGGCACTCGTGCGCCGGCTCACCGCGGTGATCCGCCGTTTCCTGGCGCACGCAACGTTTGAGACAGACAAAGTGCAGCAAGATCAGACCGAGGTGGTCACATCCACGCTGCCCCTCCTCTTGCTCTTGGTCCCAGCTCTGCAGCCTGCCACGAGGGAGGCAGAGGGCCCCACCGAGGCGGAGCCCGTCCTCCTGGAGTTGCTGGAGGCCCTGGTTGGGCTCGTCGACGATTTTGGCGCCGGAGTTCGCACCGCCGCGCTCGACGCCGCGGCCGCTGTGCTGCCTGACATGGCGGAGCCTGGCTTGCCGCCCGTCGCGCGCCCCGTGGGGCAGCCGAGGGGGCTCTCGAAACGCCGGCGGCTGACTGTTCTGCGGTCGCCCGAGGAAGCAGCAGCGCAGGCGACGGCGCGGGTGCAGAGCGCCGTGATGGACCACGCGGAGGCGAGCGGCCTCGTCGCAGCTGCCTTGGCTGTGGTGGAGCGCACGGTGGTGGCGCTTGGGCGGCGCGGGGGCGGCCACTGCAGGCTCGGCGACCGCACGCTGGCCATTCTTCAGCGCTGCGTGCTGCCGCAGCTGCTCGGCCGCTCTTCGCTGGTCGTGGCCCCGTTTCCAGAACACCTGCGACCACGAGGCCACAGCCAACGCCCCGCCACAGTGCTAGCGCCCTCGGAAACCACGGTGAGGCTCGCTGGCTGGGAGCAGACCTCCGAGGCCGCGTTGGCCTGCGAGCTCGGGGCCGCGTTGGACGGGCTGCTAGCGGTGGCGCGGTCAGCTGGGGGCGCCATACTGCTGGCGGAGCACAAGGTATTCGCCCTCCTGGCCTGCAGTCCGCTGCTGCACGTGGCGGCGATGCCCGCCGAGGCCTCTGGCCGCTTCCCGAGCGCCTACTCAGGGCCCGTGGCTGGCGCGGCAGGCCGCGGCTTCGACGACCCGATGGGCTCCGCCGCGCCGCAAGGCATGGCTGGCGCACCATGGCGGCGGCCGCTGCACACCTGCTGGTGCCAGGCCCTGCTGCTGGTGGCAGCCCTGCTCGCCTCGGCGCCCCAGCTCGGAACCGAAGCAGTGGTGTTCCTCGAGGCCTTCGCGCCCAGGCTTGGGGGACGTCATCTGTCCACCTACGCACACCAGTCCGACCAGGCCAAGCCTGGGCCCAGGATCGGTGTATGCGCTTCCTGTCCGGGCCAGGATCTGTGTAGGTGGATATAGTTGGCGCCCTCCTACAGGCTGCGCTACATATTCTGCAGCGGCCTGCAGAGTGGGCACATGGCGGTGCTCGAGGAGGCCTCTGTAGCCTGCCGCGTGCTGGCACTCATGCGCCACCGCTGTGGCGTCGCGGAGTCCATCCTGGCAGACGCCGCGACGCAGGCCTTCGTCTTCATTGTCGGGGCTTGTCTCTCTGAGCGCTCGGTCCCCTCGGAGATCTTCCTGCCGATCTCCGAAGTCGAGCGCGTCGCTGCGAACATCGCGCCCGGCAGCGAGACCTCGCCTGCAGTGGTGCCATCCGTGTTCCACCAGCGCGTGGAGCGCATCGCGCTCGAGCTGACGCGGAGCTTGCTGGCGGCACTGCTGTTCGCGTCGTCCTCGCCGACGTGGTTGAGCCACGCCGCCGCGGCAGGCGGCGGCGCCCTGGGAAGCTCCGCCATGGCCTCAGTGCCTGGCGGCTCCTGGCCGAGCCCTGGGCTGGGCGCCCTCGGCGGCCTGCGTCCGCCAGCCAGGACCGCGCCAGGGCCGCGCGCGGTGAGCGACGCCACGGGCCAGCTGCTCTGGTTTACGGTCATGGACGCCGTCCTGGAAGGCGCGCGCCGTGTGGTCGGGATCGCGGAGGCCCTGCAGGGGCGCCGGCAGGCGAGCCTGCTGCTGGTCAGCGCGCCGGGCGCGGGCGGCGGCCCGCTGGTGCCCTTCTCGCTGGCGCTGGTGCCGCTGGAGCCCGAGGGCGCCCTGGCGGGACCCGAGGCTCAGTGGCAACGATCGGGGGGGGATAGGCATGGGAGGGAATGTATCGTCCCCCCGTCGAACATAGCCCCAACCTGCCCAGGAACGTCCGGATTCGCTGTCAGGGGCTTATCGCCGATCTGTCGGCCATGTGTCGTCCATTCCAGGTCGATGTGTCCCCCCCTATGCCAGGCCCCCCCGATCGTTGCCCCTCAGAGGCTGGCTCTGCCGCGGACCCCACGGTCTCACCCGACCACCTGGCCAGGGGCCTCCAGAGGCAGGCGCCGCTGCAGAGCCCCTCGGGCGGGCCCCTTGGCAACCCGAGGGCCGCGGCGAGCCCCAGCAGCGCCGAGCCGGGCGGAGGGACCGCCACGACGGGCGCCGTGGAGCCGCAGCGAAGTGTGAGGCACTGGCGGATGGCCAAGAGGGGGGTGTCGGGACCATGCGATCGCCCTGGATCTCATGGCTATCTCGTCGTCTTCTTCTCTTAGTCTTATTCTTCTTCTTATTATTATCATTATTATTATTGTTGTTATTAGTATTATTAATCTTATGATTACTATTATTATTCTCATGATTCTTATTATTATCATTACGATGTCCATCATTGTTATTAGCAGTATCATATTTTTCCACTGTTATTATTCTCCTTCGTATGAATTCGACTGTTATTACTCTTAGTATGTGGATTCGCATCAGTATACATATTATTGGTTTCATCCTTTTTAGCGTTAGCATAAGTATCGTTGTTATTAGTCGCACTTCTCGTATTATCATTAACAATTCAATTATTAATAGGAAGACTCATATTGACGTTATAGATAATGTTAATCTTGCTATGTGTATTATGATTGTTTACTATTTATGTTAAGATTAGCAGTTGTAGTAGGAGTATTGTTACTATCATTCGTGATCTCAGGGCCATTGACCACGTATTTTTTATTTACATCAGCACCGTTCTTATCATTAGTCGCATCAGTATTCGTAGTCATGTTTGTTCTCACTGTGTCTTGTTATTCATATTAGCATTCTCCTCCTACATGTCATCCATCTTCTTCTCCTCCTCCTCCTTCTCTTTCATCTTACTTCAACACGTCCCCTGCCCCCCCTCGTCCACGCACATCTCCCAGGCCATGATTGGCGAGCCCCCCTCTTGGACGCCCCTCTCTTCGACGCCCCCGAGAGGCACCGGCGGATGGCCCTGTACCCTGGGCGTTGCCTGGGGAGGCAGCTGGCCGAAGGCATCGTGCCAGAGTGCACGTCTCTCGAGGACCTGCGCCAGCTGTGCTGGACCACCGTGGAGATGTCCTGCACGCTCCTGTGCCACTTCTGCCAGGCCTCCGCAGCCTCCCGCGAGCCCCACCCCTGCGGCTCCCAAGGACACCACGGGGCGGCCCCCGGACCCCCGACGCCGTGATTTTGCGCGACGCGGGCGCCCGGATGCCTCGAGCCGTTCCCCAGGACCGGCTTTTCAGCCCGAGCCGTTTTTTGACGGTCTTGGGGCTTGGCGATGGCCCTCAGAGGCGGGAAACAGCGGATAAAACGATCAGTCGTGTGTCTGCACGGCGCGAGGAGGTGGGGGCCCCCTTCGTGCCCTCCCGCAGGGTCTCCCTCTGCCGCGGGCAGCCTTCGGCGCCCTGCGGCCCCCTGGTCCCTGGCTGGAGGCGAGCGGATCCTGCGCTGAACGACCAGGGTCGGACACGCGCAGAAGAGGAGCGGGGGGAGGGGGGAGGGCTTCTCAGCAGCACCCCTGCTTCTTAGAAGGAAGCAGCCTCCTTCTAAGAAGCCTTCCCCCCTCCCTTTACCCCCTGGTGCGCGCCGCCAAGCGTCTGCACGACGCGAGGAGGTTGGGGCCCCCTCCGCCCCCCACGCAAGGGCTCCCTTTGCCACGGGCAGCCTGCGGCGCCCTCCGGCTCCGCAGTCTCTGGAGGCAAGCGGGTCCTGCGCTGGGCGACCACGGGGTGGAGGGTGTCGGCGGACCGAAGTACAAAGTCGCGGTCAGTTCGGGGAGGGTACCCTGATGGTTTTCGTGCTTGTTTGGATGTTCTCGTGCATCGGGGGCACGCGGGGAGGGTGGGGAGCGGGAGCGGGGAGCGGTCGGGGTCACCGTGATGCAAACGGGTCCCGGGAGGAAATTGGCTCTTGGGCGTTTCCTCGGCCTCTCTGGCCCGCCCGGGCTCGCCCGCGGGCCCCAGGGTTGTCTGAACACGGCACGGGGCCGCAGACGGGTCTTGCGGGAAGGTCCCCAGGGTCCAGGATCCGTGCCCCCCGCGCGCCTCTCGCGGGGCGGGCGCCGCAGGGGTGGGTCACCGAGCGCGTCCCGCTGCTCGCACAGTGCACCCGCAAATGTCCGACCCCCCCCCCACACACACACATACACATATACCTACACATACACATTTACATGTACAGGTACATGTACATATACATATACGTATACGTACGCACGTACGTACATACATGCATGCATGCATGCATGCATGCATGCATACACATACATGCATGCATGCATGCATACATGCATACATATACACATACACACAGACACACAGACACACATACACACAGTACACCTGTGTCGCCGCGCCGTTCTGTTCCAACGCGCTGCCTTCCGGCTTGGGGAGGGCGCCTCGGCCACCAGGGCGAGCCTCGGGCGCGCAGGGCCCGCCGTGGGGTTCGCCGTGGTGTCGGCCTCGTCCACCTGGGCGCGCGGAAAACAAATGGCGCGGCGACACATGTTCGCCTCGTTGTCATGGATCGTGAATCCCCCGCGGCGGATCCAGGCCACTTGCGCGTCGTTACTTTGCGAGCAGTGGGGCGCACTTGTCTAGTAGGGCTCGCGCGGGGGCGCCCGCAGGCCACGCAGGCCGGCGCACTGGCTGGGCGCGAGCGCTCGGCGGCGCCAGGCGCTGCGGTGCTCCACAGCCTGCTGAGCCTCCTCCACGAGCTCTGCCCCAAGTCGGGCCCCAGGTCGGCATCGTTCGTCGTCGATTCGTCGTCGACGTCGTCGTCGTCGTCGTCGGATCGTTGTCGTCGTCGTCGTCGTCGTCGTCGTCCTCATCCCCACTGGGCCATGGTATCCGCCCCGACTGCGGCCCCATGGCGGCATCGTTCGTTGTCGTCGTCGTCGTCGTCATCGTCGTCGTCGTCGTCATCGTCCTCATCCCCACTGGGCCATGGCATGACCCCAGGTCGGCATCGTTCGTCGGCGTCGTCGTCGTCCTCGTCGTGGTGGTCGTCGTCGTCGTCATCGTCGTCGTCGTCCTCATCCACATCCCCACTGGGCCATGGTATCCGCCCCGACTGCTGCCCCAGGTCGGCATCGTTCGTTGTCGTCGTCGTCGTCGTCTTTCGTCGTCGTCGTCGTTGTCCTCATCCCCACTGGGATATGATATCCGCCCCGACTGCGGCCCCAGGTCGGCATCGTTCGTTGTCGTCCTCGTCGTCGTCGTCGTCCTCATCCCCACTGGGCCATGGTATCCGCCCCGACTGCGGCCCCAGGTCGGCATCGTTCGTTGTTTTCGTCGTCGTCGCCCTCATCCCCACGGCCATGGTATCCGCCCCGACTGCGGCCCCAGGTCGGCATCGTTCGTTGTCGTCGTCGTCGTCCTCATCCCCACTGGGCCATGGTATCGGCCCCGACAGCGGCCACAGGTCGGCATCGTTCGTTGTCGTCGTCGTCGTCCTCGTCGTCGTCGTTGTCGTCGTCGGCGTCGTCGTCGTCGTCCTCATCCCCACCGGGCCATGGTATCCGCTCCGATTGCGGCCCCAGGTCGGCATCGTTCGTTGTCGTCGTCGTCGTCCTCGTCCTCGTCGTCGTCGTCGTCGTCGTCGGCGTCGGCGTCGTCGACGTCGCCGTCCCCACTGGGCCATGATATCCGCCCCGACTGCGGCCCCAGGTCGGCATCCTTCGTTGTCGTCGTCGTCCTCGTCGTCGTCCTCGTCCTCGTCGTCGTCGTCGTCATCGGCGTCGTCATCGTCGTCGTAGTCCTCATCCCCACTGGGCCATGGTATCCGCCCCGACTGCGGCCCCAGGTCGGCATCGTTCGTTGTTTTCGTCGTCGTCGCCCTCATCCCCACGGCCATGGTATCCGCCCCGACTGCGGCCCCAGGTCGGCATCGTTCGTTGTTTTCGTCGTCGTCGCCCTCATCCCCACGGCCATGGTATCCGCCCCGACTGCGGCCCCAGGTCGGCATCGTTCGTTGTCGTCGTCGTCGTCCTCATCCCCACTGGGCCATGGTATCGGCCCCGACAGCGGCCACAGGTCGGCATCGTTCGTTGTCGTCGTCGTCGTCCTCGTCGTCGTCGTTGTCGTCGTCGGCGTCGTCGTCGTCGTCCTCATCCCCACCGGGCCATGGTATCCGCTCCGATTGCGGCCCCAGGTCGGCATCGTTCGTTGTCGTCGTCGTCGTCCTCGTCCTCGTCGTCGTCGTCGTCGTCGTCGTCGTCGTCGTCGTCGTCGGCGTCGGCGTCGTCGTCGTCGCCGTCCCCACTGGGCCATGGTATCCGCCCCGACTGCGGCCCCAGGTCGGCATCCTTCCTTGTCGTCCTCGTCGTCGTCCTCGTCCTCGTCGTCGTCGTCGTCGTCATCGGCGTCGTCATCGTCGTCGTAGTCCTCATCCCCACTAGGCCATGGTATCCGCCCCGACTGCGGCCCCAGGTCGGCATCGTTCATTGTCGTCGTCGTCGTCGTCCTCGTCGTCGTCGTCGTCATCGTCGTCGTCGTCGTCGTCGTCGTTTTCGTCGTCGTCCTCATCCCCACTGGGCCGTGGTATCTGCCCCGAGTCGGGCCGCATGTCGGCACCGTCTAACCTACGGTGGGGGTGCTCGTGAAGGAATGTGCCCAGTAGGCCTCGGACCCTGGAGGAGGCCTTATCTGGTGAGGGCGGCGGTGATATCTGTTGCCAAGCCTCGATCGGTTGTTCCACCGGCTTCCAGACCCTGGCTTCCTTATCACAGTTTTCCTTATCGAGTGCCCTCGCCGTATAAGCGTCAACGTCCCGAGCTTTTCCCAGCTTCCCGTCCCTGGGAGCGTAGCGACACGCAAACCGCTCGCAAGGCATAGCGTGTTGCCGGGGCCGCCGCCGCGACACGCTCGGCAAAATTTCCCGACCTTAGCAATCCCCATCCCCACTGGACCGTGATATCTCAGCCCCACCAGCCCACCCTCCCAGGTGGAGATAGGCCCCGCGACACCCGAAGGAGCAGGCGTGTATGATCCAGGGTGGTCGTGGATTCACAGCCCCCCCCCCCACCCCCAGATGAGATGGGTCCCAGGGCTCAAAGCCCCCCCCCCCCCGATGGGATGCTGGGGGGACGACGACGACGGACGCCGACGACGGCCCCCGCAGCTCCCTGAAGCACTGCAGCACCACGCCGCACCTACAGGGAAGCGACGACGACGACGGCGGCAAAGACGCCGACGACGACGACGACGACGGCGATGCCAACCCCCTCCCTCCCTCCCTTCCCTCCCTTCCTCCCTCTCCTCATCCCTCCCTCTTCGCTCCTTAGCCCCTTCTCTCCGGGCTACGAGGGCTAAGGCAGTTAAGGCGGATGAGACGGCCAAGAGGGCTCTGAGGGCTAAGAGGGCTACGAGGTCTAAGAGGGCTAAGATGGCTGAGAGGGCTAAGACGGCTAAGACGGGTAAGAGGGCTAATAAAGATACGAGGGTTGAGAGGGCTGAGATAGGGAAGAGGGCTGAGAGGGAGGGCTGAAAGAGCTGAGAGGGCTAAAAGGGCTGAGAGGGCTGGGAAGGTTAAGAGTGTTAAGAGGGCTGAGAGGGCTACGAGGGCTACGAGGGTTGGAGGGCTAGGAGGTCGAAGAGGGCTAAGAGGCCTAATATAGACCCGTGAACCGAACGATGGAACGGCACCGTTGGGCGCTGAGCACTGCAACAGAAAGTTTTGTTCAGAATCGTGCGCACCCCTGAGGCAATGGACAACACCCGAACGACGGAACGGCACCGCACGGCGTTGAACACTGCAGCAGCAAGTTATGTTCAGAATCCTGCACACCCCTTGGGAAATGGTCAGTCCCCGAGCGACGGAACGGTTTCAGGGTTCTGAGCACTGGCACTGGCACGCTACGCGCAATCGCAAGACAAGCAAAAGTAAGAAACTACTGTATAGGTGTTAGCTTCCGCCCAGTACCCCGTGCAAATTTCAAGATGCTGCGTGCCGTCGTCTTTCGTTGTCGTCGCCGTCGTCGAAGTCGTCGTCGTCGTCGTCGTCGTCGTCGTCGTCGTCGTCGTCGTCGTCGTCGTCTCCCGCCACCCCATCCGGGGGAGGTCCCTCGGCCGTTGGGCGCTACCAGGCCGACGATCCTGACACGAGGGTCTGGCGCACGCAGCCTGAGCCCTGAAGGGTTCAGCGCACGCGGCACGAGCCCCGAAGAGCGGACCCCCGCGAGGGCTCCACAGCTGCACCATCCTACACCCACAGGGGCGGGCGACCCATGGCGGGGGAGATCCCATTAGCATGGCAGGGGGGGGGGGCAGGCAGGCCTTGGACCATATGTCCCCTCCTAGGTGGGTAAGTCGGCCAGTGGGGCCAAGGCCACGCCAGTGGGGATCGTCGAAACGATGCTCACCAGGCCGTTTGGCATCAGCCCCGCGACCGCGGAGTATCTGGAGGCCCTCGGCGCTTCGTCGCTGCGCTGCGAGCTCGGGCGCGGCGCAGCCGAGGGCGACGCGCCGCCTGCTGCGGCGCCGTCCCTGGCCTCACTGCCGGGGGCGCTGGCGCCGCAGCGGGCGGGCCGGGAGGAGGAAGAGGATATCTGGGCTTCGCAGATGGGGTCCGAGTGCAGTCAAGATTGATAGCAAGGGCTGAAGGATGCGCGATAAGGATGCAGGCCTCTTGGACACCCGTGTTGAAGCTTTTTCGAGCGCGGCGGGCCATCGAAAGTCAAGGGTGGACCAAGGAAGCACGGATGCAGGTGTGCCCTTGGGAATGTTACACTTCCTTTGCCATCGGTTTCGACTGGAGATGGGGTCGAAGGATCGGACCGCGTCGCAGATGCATCGCCGATGCGGCTCGAGTTGGAGCCCCATTTTCTTCACGCCGGCGGCGCCGATGCATCGCCGACGTCTCCGATGGATCGCCGATGCATCGGCGATGCGGCGCGGTCTTCCGACCCCACCTGCTCGGACCCCATCAAGGAGGCCTCGAGGAGACCGGCCGCAGCGAGCGGGCGGCCTGGTCCGCCCTCTTCCTCTCCTCCCCGCTGCCGGGGGCGGGCCTCTTGCCGAGGTGAGGCCTGCGCGGCAGTGGGCGGCGAAGGCTCATCTTTCTGGCTGCGGCCCCTCCTCCGGGAGGGGGGCGGCCGCAAGGACGGCGAGGGGAGAGGGGCCGCGAATGCCTTGCGTGGATGGGTAAAAAGTTGCGAGGAGGCACTCTCCTCCTTCTCCTCCTCCTTCTCCTCCTTCTCCTCCTCCTTCTCCTAGTCCTCCTCCTCCTCCTCCTCCTCCTCCTCCTCTTCCTCCTCCTCCTCCTCCTCCTCCTCCTTGTCGTCCTCCTCCTGCTCCTTGGAAGAGCTCCTCCTCCTCCTCCTCCTCCTCCTCCTCCTCCTGCGCCTCATCTGCCTTGTCGCCCTCCTCCTGCTCCTCCTCGTCTTTTTCCACCTCTCCTCCTCATCATCATCTTCATCATCATCAGCAGCATCATCGTTCGTCATCATCAGCATCATCATACAAGTTGCCATTGGGATCAAGCCATGTTGGCTCAAGTTGAAACTGGGGAGCCCCGGCGGGTACAACTTGTACGCAACCGAGGGGCTGAATCGAAGGCCTTCAGCGTACGCCTCACCTCACAATTCCTGTGGTGAACCGCCTTGCGGCTATGGATTAGCCGTGTCAGCCGAGGCGCATTCAGCGCATTTTGCAGCTCGCGCCGTGTCCCTGAGTGCCGAAGATGCGTGCGCAGCTGCGCAGCTGGGCGAGCAGCTTTCGCCGCTGAACGCGCGGGTTGCGGAGCTCGCGATCGCCCTCTTTGACAGCATTGGTAGCCAAGCGGATGGACGAGCGCATTATTAGTTAGTCCCCCTCCCTCGAAGCCACGGTGGCGGAGATGACTGCTCAGTTTGCTTTACATGCCGCTGCCATCGCTAACATCCAGCTGGGAACCGCCATGAATGACGGGTACTCTGACTCTGACGGCGCTCTGATTCTGACAGGAGCTTCTCTTGGGAATCCTCCGTACCTCAGCTTCCGACCAGTTGCTGTGGACAGTCTTGTGGTGGCAGCTATCGTGATGCAGCGGGCATTTCTGTCCAGTCGGTTTGAATAATGGCTTATCATAGTGCAGGTGCCTTTGGCCTTGGAGCACTGCGACCTCCAACACGTCAACTTGCTTGCCACTATTTTGTTAGATGGGCGCAGCATACGCGGGGGAGGCAGTTCTTGTCAGTTCTCGGTGAGACTGAGAATCTCCAGCGTTCTCTATCCAGCACGACTCGTTCCTCAAATTGTAATAACGCGAAGCATTGTTGACGAGTCGACTCCTTAGGTTCGCCATCTGCGTCTCGACCTTCCAGAAGAAGGCTGCGTCGCTTGTCTCTCCAGTGAAAGTCATGCCCATGCCTGCTCCGACTGTGACCTGGAATGAATCCGACCCTGCGAAATCTGAGTATACGCATTGATGAAACAATGAAGTCCCGAGAAGTGTCCCGCCTGTATCCTGGACAGTACGGAGAAACGTTTTCAACACATGTGCTCGAGAAGTTGTTCGTGCGGCGTGGTAATGTAGACATCGTCAACGCCTGCTCTGCACAGCACGCTGTTAGATACTACTTCTGCACCGCGTGCGCATTGAAGAAGTCCATTCGTACTGCTGCATAGGTGGGAAGCCCGGCACTCCAACGATTCACGCCTGGCCAGTCGGGCCATCTGGCGGTCGGCATTGCTGAAAGCGTGTCTTGCGCTGGCGTGTATTACCCTCAACCCCACCTTCCCTTTCCCTGGGGGTTTGTGGGTCTCCAGGGCAAATTGCAGCAGTGGTGTAAAATCACCGTTGTCGGGAGCAAACAAACTCGAGATCGTATTGGTCGTGTGCCCTCAGAGCCTTGACCAGTTCGCATGTCTGTTTTCCCATCACGCTGCGAACCTGAGTCCCATTGATGATGAGACGTGACAGTTCAAAATATGTGAGTTCTGAATCTTTCTCTCTGATCCGATCTTGCATGGCTGATCTACGGATGAAAAAATACCATCCGCCCTTCTCTGTTGGAACGGCTACGGAGGCTCTCTCGCGGAGCCACAGGGTTGCGTACAGCACGAATCTTCGTTTCTTGTGCCACCAGTGCGGTCCTTGGGCTTGCCTCCGGATTGCCGCATCCATATCAGACAAATCAGCATTCTTCATCTGCCTGCACGTTAGTTTCATTTCTTTGGGAAGTGGCTGCGCAGGGCAGTGGCGCGCCAGACACGAGATGGGATTGACTGTCCAACAAAACGATGTTCTTGTTGAATCTTCCCAGGGCTAAGACAACAGGCCAAGGCAGCTCCTCAGGAAATGGGTTGCGGACAGATTTTGCGTTCTCGCAGAAGACATGGAATTGTGCAGTTCGCTCACTGTCTTTCTCCACGACCGCGCCATGTCTGCTGTGGTTGCCCCTGTGAGATGTTGCCAGACGGCTCCCACCACCTCTCCGTGGCGTTGGCCTTCCCTAGCTTTCTGCCAGCACCTTTCTCCCCACCTCTGCCCTTGCTCTTGCCGCCGGCCGCCGCGGGACTCGCCGTGGCCCTTGGAAAGTCCCTTGCTTGCCCTCAGGGCTGGGTGCTGTGCGTTCTCCTCGGGGTCTTCGCGCTCTTCCTCGGGGACTGCGGCCCGCTTCGCTCGTTGCTTTCGGTCTCTCCCCTCAGCCTGGCCTCGGGATTCGGACCCGCCTGCCCGCCGGCAGGGGCCGCCCTGTCCTTGGGCCTCGGTGCAGCCGCCCTGGCGGCCTCCCAGTTCGCCAGCTCTGCCTTCGAAAGAGCCGCTGGCCCTCACGATCTGGTGCCGTTCCTCTTGGGCCCTGGGCGCGTGGAGCGAGAGCGATGGTCACCGCGTTGCCGGTTGCACGGGCTGCCCTCTCTGGCTCCGTGACCGGCCGGATGTGGCCCCCAGCTGATGCGACTTGGCCGACGGCCCTCGTGAAGACGTGGGGTCCTTGTCGCGTCTCTATCGCTGTCGCTCCTCGGCCAGGGTTTCCTGCTCTGCGTCTTTCGATCAGCCTCGGTCAGCCTCCGGTACACTGCTGCGCTTTCCTCCGAGATCCGCTTGTCGTGAGGCTCCTGGAAAAGCCCTGGCGGGTGGCGATTACAAAAGGCATTGTTACCTAACAGCGAAGACTGATAGGTTTCTAATGGGGTAAAAAGAGAGCAGCAGATGACTCCACAGGGGGGTCTGGGCGGGTGCCGGACAGGGTGCCGCAGAAGTCGTTTTAAGCCAACAGTCACACACTTCGTGCTCTTCGACCTCCCAGAACTCCATTCCCGGGCCACATTCTGAATGCCCGGAGCCAACTGTAGGCCACTTCGTGCTCTTCGAGTCCCAGAACTCCATTCCCGGGCCACATTTTGAATGCCCGGAGCCAACTGTAGGCCACTTCGTGCTCTTCGAGTTCCCAGAACTCCATTCCCGGGCCACATTTTGAATGCCCGGAGCCAACTGTAGGCCACTTCGTGCTCTTCGAGTTCCCAGAACTCCATTCCCGGGCCACATTTTGAATGCCCGTAGCCAACTGTAGGCCACTTCGTGCTCTTCGACTTCCCAGAACTCCCTTTCCTGGGCCACATTTTGAATGCTGAGGCAGGCTGATGCTGCGGTCGAGGCAGGCTGGGCTGAGGCAGGCTGAGGCTGAGGCCGAGGCTGAAGGCAGACTGAGGCTGAGGCTGAAGCAGACTGAGGCTGAGGCTGAGGCAGGCTGAGGCTGAGGCTGAGGCAGGCTGATGCTGAGGCAGGCTGAGGCTGAGGCTGAGGCTGATGCAGGCTGAGGCTGAGGCAGGCTGAGGCTGAGGCCGAGGCTGAAGGCAGACTGAGGCTGAGGCTGAAGCAGGCTGAGGCTGAGGCTGAGGCAGGCTGAGGCTGAGGCAGGCTGAGGCTGAGGCTGAGGCAGGCTGAGGTTGAGGCTGTGACTGCGACTGCCGTTGCCGCTGCGACTGTCATCGCGAATGCGACTACGACTGCGAGAACAGCAGAATTCTACAACTGGATTTTCATCTGAATCTTAAGGGGAATGCTTTCAGATATGCTTCTACACATGCTTTGCCGGGATAATTTTTTTTGCCGGACCTTGCTCCTATTTATTCGTGAGATGGACACTTGAAGTGAAGGATTATATGGCCTCCTCCAGATGTGTTTCACGCAAGCTGGATACCATACTACCAACGCTTCGCGTATCCCCACCAGCCAATCCAGAAGCGATGCCCAGGCGAGTTGCATTGATCAGGGAAGCGTGGGAGCATGCAGTGGAACAAAGAGTAGGGGCAGCCGTGCAACGGAACATCGGGATCAGCTTGAGCAGGCCCAGGATTCAACCATACATGCTTTCTAGGATTTTTCGACATAGGAGCTCCGTGGCAGCTCACTTGGACCATCATGGGGCCCTCTTGGGGCTATTTTTCGGCGCTTACGGGCCCTATAGGGTTCCTCTTGGGGCCCTCTTGGGGGCCCTGGAGGGCCTCTTGGGGCCATCTTGTAATAGGGCGTCGATCGAAAGAGGGGGGTATTAAATTTGGGCCCATCCTCAGGAACCCTCATAAATGCCTCGTGGGGCGCTCTTGGGCGCTCTTGGGGCCGTCTTGGACCCTTCGTGGGGCTCTCTTGGGCCGTCTTGGGGCGATTTTGAGGCCTCGATCGGAAGCGAAAAGGCGATAAGGCACAAATCATGAGTCTTCCCTAGGTGTTTGAAGAATTTGGCCTCTTGGGGGGTCCCTGGGAGGCTCCGAGAGCACTTGGGCCCTTCTTGTGGCCATGTTAGGGCCGTTCGGAGGTATGTCGTAAGTAATATTGAGCCATCTTCGGCTATCTTTAACCGTCTTGGAAGGCCCCCTTGGAGCATCGGAGGTCCTCTTGGATTCATCTTGAGCAACGAAGGAACCTCTAACCAATCGCGCCCATGCCCCCCCCCATCTAGACCTTTGGGAGGGAGGGGGGGTAGGAATAAATCCCTTCCCGACAGGGCGATAGGGAAGAACGGGTTTTGGAAGATAGAAGAAAGATACCATTAGACCACCTACGCCATGATGGGGTGGTGGAATTTTCCTCTAAGACTCT